CTTTTTCCCCCTGAGCCCCTTCCCAGCCACTCTTCCCCAAGCGTGTAGCATTGCATGGGGTTTTGTGACCCAAGTGCAGGACCCGGCATTTGGCCTTGAACTTCATACAGTTGGCGTTGGCCCATCAATCCAGCCTGTTCAGGTCCCTCTGCAGAGCCTTCATACCCTCAAGCAGATCAACACTCCCACCCAACTTGGTGTCATCTGTAAACTTACTGAGGGTGCACTCAATCCCCTCATCCAGACCATTGATAAAGATATTAAACAGAACTGGCCCCAGTACTGAGCCCTGGGGAACACCACTTGTGACCGGCCTCCATCACCACTTGAGATCTAACTCCATTCACCACCACCCTTTGGGCCTGGCCATCCATCCAGTTTTTTACCAGCAAAGAGTATGTCCATCCAATCCATGAGCATCCAGTTTCTCCTGGAGAATGCTGTTGGAAAGAGCGTCAAAGGCTTTACTAAAGTCTAGATAGACAACATCCACAGCCTTTTGCCTATCCACTAAGCAGGTCACCTTGTCATGGAAGATCAGGTTAGTCAAGCAGGACCTGCCTTTCATAAACCCACGCTGACTGGGCCTGATCACCTGGTTGTCCAGGACGTGCTGTGTGATGGCATTTAAGATGATCTTCTCCATGACTTTCCTCAGCACCAAGGTCAGACTGACAGGCCTGTAGTTCCCTGGATCATTTTTCCAGTCCTTCTTGTAGATGGGCATCACATTTGCCAAGCTCCAGTCAACTGGGACCTCCCCAGTTAGCCAGGACTGCTGATAAATGATGGCAAGGGGCTTGGTGAGCACTTCCACCAGCTCCCTCAGTACCCTTGGGTGGATCCCATTTAGCCCCTTAGACTTGTTGTGTGTCTAAATGGTGTAGCAGGTCACTAATCATTTCCCCTTGGATTTTGAGAGCTTCATTCTGCTCCCTGTCCCTGTCTTCCAGCTTAGGGGACTGGGTACCTGGAGAACAACTGGTCTTATTATTAAAGATTGAATCAAAGAAGGCATTAAGTACCTCAGCTTTTTCCTCATCCTTTGTCACTATGTTTCCCCCTGCATCCAATAAAGGATGGAGATTCTCCTTAGCCCTCCTTCTGTTCCTAATGTATTTATAGAAACATTTTTTATTACCTTTTACAGGAGTAGCCAAATTAAGTTCTAGTTGGGCTTTGGCCCATCTAATTTTCTCCCTGCATAACCTCACATCATCTTTGTAGTCCTCCTGAGTTGCCTGCCCCTTCTTCCAAAGGTCATAAATTCTCCTTTTTTTCCTGAGTTCCAGCCAAAGGTCCCCTGTTAAGCCAGGTCAGTCTTCTTTGCTGCTAGCTTGTCTTTCAACACATGGGGACGGCCTGCTCTTGTGCCTTTAAGATTGCCTTCTTAAAGAATGTCCAGCCTTGCTAGACTCCTTTGCCCTTCAGTACTGCCTCCCAAGGGACTCTGTCAACCATGCTTCTAAAGAGACCAAAGTCTGCCCTCTGGAAGTCCAAGGTGGCAGTTCTGCTGACCCCCCTCCTTACTTCTCCAAGAATTGAAAACTCTGTAATTTCATGATTGCTACGCCCCAGACGGCCTCCAAACACCACATCACCCGCAAGTCCTCTGTTTGCAAACAACAGGTCTAGCAGGGTGCCTTCCCTAGTTGGTCACTCTCCAGCTGTGTCAGGAAATTATCTTCCACACTCCAGGAACCTCCTAGGCTGTTTCCTCTCTGCTGTGTTGTATTTCCAGCAGACATCTGGTAAGTTGAAGTCCCCCACACGAACAAGGGCTACCAATTGTAAGAGTTCTCGCAGCTGCTCACAGAGTATTTCTTCTGCCTCTTCATCCTGGTTGGGTAGTCTATAACAGACTCCCATCATGATATCTGCCTCGTTGGCCTTGTCCCTCATCCTTACCCATAAGCACTCAACCTTATCATCACAATCGTCGTGGCTCTCCCTGAGGCTCCCCCGGTTCAGGACACCCCCCTGTGCACCAGGCTAGAGCGCTCCGGAGCTGCTTGCCTCAGCAACAGACACAAGACATTCAGCCAATTTAAATTGACTGTTCTTTTTTGTTCTACTTAATTTTTGTTTATTGTTCTAGTTTAGTTCAGTTCACATTTTTTTGTTTCTCAAGGGTAAGCTGTTACAGCAACAAGTACTATAATGTATAAATGAAAACAGAAGGAAATAGACTGACTTCTAGAAGCAATATGTGCAATCCAGGCAAAACTGGGTTTATGGGCAATGACATTGTGAGGTTGAAGAAGCAAATGAAACATAAAACCCTTATAGTGAGACACATCAGAAGAAGTGGCCATAATAAAGCACATCAATGGGTTAAACCACACAATTTGTAACATTATGGTGATCAAAGCAGTAAGGTAATGTGTGGAATTTACATCTGCAAAAGATCACTGAGTTGATCCATGTAACTGAACTAAAAATAGAGGAGATAATTGTATTACTGCTAATAACCAAGTTATGCAATATCCTGAAGAGGCAAATTGCATTATTCAGATCACACAGGATATTTGTATAGGATGACTGGAAGACCAGAGAAATTTTTCTACCAACCTCTTCCTCACTTTCAGGTTTCACAAAAATGAATGGCATATTGGTCACTGCTTAAGACTGGATAGCAGACTCGACTTACAAGAAATCTGTACCCACCAACAAATCCTAAATCAAAAATAGTCTTAAGACATGATAAAATTACAATATAAAATAATGAAGAGAGCACCTAAAGACATACCTCTAGCTGGAAAGCTTAGTTGCTGTAGGGTGGCTGCACTTACACAGTAGCCAACCTGTGACTTCTCTGAAATGTCTCCCAGACAGGAATTCCAGTCTTCTACATTATAAACTGGGCAGTCTTGTAGGTTAGTGACAAGGTCTCCCACAAAAAGACCTCTTGGTCCATTGGCAGGAGAATCCTGAGAAGAAACAGTGAAGTCAGTCATGTTGTTATATTTAAAACTACAAGGATTGGTTTACAGTTCTGCTGAATTGACATGAAATCTTTAGGTTAAGATGCCACTTCCAGAGAAACAGAAAATCCCAGGCTCCACTAGAATTGATTATTTCAACTTATGATAGAGCATTAAAAAAAATGCATCCTGTACAAAGAGTAACTTATTTATTGCAAAGAAAAGGGCAAGTCTCCGAGTATTCCAGGGGACCTCTTCAAATTTGAGCAATTATTTTCATAGAAGTTAACATGTTGTGCATTTTCCTACTATTTTAAATTCAGGAAGCTTAAATTAGTACCCTGAATCTTTCAACAAAGCAGGGTGTACCTATACTTTTGAAGATATAAAGCATTATAAATGTCACTCTCCTCCTGAGTTATATCAGATCACTTTTAGATCCAAGAAAGACTGAACCCTTTCAGCTCTGCTGTTCAACTGTCCTGTATTTGATAAAGTCAGGAAAAAATCAGTCCTTTCCAGAAACCCAGCAGTCTATCTCTACTTTGCTTCCAGCTGACCAAATAATCAGGGAAATCAGCTCAAAATAATCTTTAACATTAAAAACAGACAGCAATAACTAGAGTGATAATGCAGTTTCCAGTAGATTTACTTGGTGCCAATATTGAAAAGAGCTTAAAGTTAAATAAAACACCAGAAATATACCTGCAAACTCATCTCAAATGTCTAAACAGTTTTATAATATGCTGAATAGCCTATAATTATTCATGCCATGTTCCTTCATTTACTAATACTAAAAAACATGAGACTGAGAAGGAAACTTTAAGCAGACAAAAAGTGCAACGTAATAGATTCTGCAGGGTGCTGCACTGACCAAATTTGACTGTGATAATAAGAGACACTGGTACATTTCAGGTCACAAAGTATATAATATGAAAACAGTGAAGATCTTTTCTTACCTCTGCGACCTCAGTGACAAGTGCCCCAACACCCGTGTAATAGAAAGGGAAAAGAATGGCTGGCAGCAGAAATAAAACCAGGAAACTTGCAACACCGAGAACAAAATTATGCCACACTCCTAAAAAGAAGGAAAAAAAAATCACATTTCTAAACAAACACTAGTAACAAAAGGTGGTTTTGAAATGGTTAGTTACCTTCTAATTTACTTTCCTGGAATAATTACTGTAAGAATGGATGAAAAGTTAATTTGTGAACATGTCATGAAAGAAGAATACGTATATTACTTCACAGACTTAAGTTTCTATGCTGTCACTTTGTAGAGGAGATTTAGAGAAGCCTCTGAACCCCTGACAATTATACTATCAGAAAAGTGGTAAGTCCATTCTGAAGGTGTCATTCTACCGTATTGATATTTCATCACCTAACACTACTTTTCTAAGAATGTATTGGGCAGAGTATCCAAAAGAAAAACACTGGGCTTCTGAATCAATTATTAAACTACAGTTTCTACGTAGAGAGTTTTCATCAATCATAAATATTAAAAAACTAGTAAACTAGTGGAATGAAATGTATTACGTTACCTTCTACCGCAACAGACTGCTGAATTTAAGAATTTATTTCAGTATTTATCTCCACTGTATCAATGAATATAATTACATGTATATGTGCCAAACAAGTGTAGAAAATTATTTGAAAAAAGGCTTCCTTTACAAGAAAATCTGGACCTAAAACCACATGAAGAAACTAAGTTGTGCAATCAGCATTTTCTGACACATTATTCTGGGCAACATATTTGCGACTGCAGTCTTTATAGTATGCTGTTCTCCATAGGAAGAAATGAACTACTACCATAAGACACACTTGGCTTCCTTCAACATCCAGTACCATACAAATTTTCTCATTTAATTGGTGGTCTTGGACAAACATTTTGTATGACCAATGCAAGAAAACTTTCAATGTTGAAGACTCCTGATTTCCTTGTTACAGTGCTTCATCTTGCTCAGAGGGGTTTGATTCAGTTCCATATTTACAGTGCAGTTACAGGACAGCAACTGAAGTATGTTTAAAAACATATTAAATCTATCTTTCTTGCACTGTATATTACACAGTAATCATAACATACGGCAGACTTATTTCCCCTGGCTATCTCTACATGTTACTTGGTCTTCTTTTATGTTCCTAATGCTGCAGAAATGAGAGACATTTTTGGAGTACTTTAACCAAGGGTTTGTTGCCATTTCCACTAGTAGATGCTTCTTAAAGTGATTTCTCTTTCTATAGTTATTAATCATATCTCATTGACAAGCAATCAGACAGATAAAATGTTTCAGCATTCAGTTGTCTTTCTCTCACACGCATATATATATGTGTGCACACATGCACAAAAGTGCAACAAAACCAAAAGTATTAAACAAATATTTTAACTTTATTGTTTTAACCTTTTTATCTTAAAAATATCTTAATTTTTTCAGCTTAACAGCTTAAGAATAACAATCTAAGACAGAAACAAAATTCCTTTGTAACAGTGTGGCCACCAAAGAAAGTAAACTGGAAAAAAAACTTAACAAAAAATGAGGTGGCGGAACTGCTAGAGGGTGACAAGTAATACTTTCAAACAGCTAGGAAAACATGGGCCTTAATACCATAATCTACACAGTTTGCTGTGTGGGAAACAGCAGAAAAGTCCTCAAATTCATCCCAGGTGATTCACAGAAAAATAAACAGGCTCAAAGTGAGAATACCTGTAGAAGCACACTGCTGAGTATAGCAGCAATTTCATTTTGCTAAATGAACAGCCCCGTTCTTGGATACCCAATTCCTTATACTTAAAAAGGGACACTTCACATAACCCTTAAAACACCTTAAAATGTTTTAAATGTTTTAAAACATTTAAATGTTTTAAATGTTTTAAAAACATTTAACTCCTTTTTCTGTTAAAGACAAGACCAAACATATTAAAAAGGATCTCAAAAAATAATACAAATATTGGAGCTAATTATAAGAAAGTGCTGCACAGAAGCACTTTTCATCTATTAGACATGGAATTAATGCTAAAAATATCACAAGTCTTACAAGAGCACTCGTTCACTATTCTTGAACTCATGATGCCATCTGCTGTACAACAAATATACTCTTTAATCTCCAGAGTACAGGTGGACTACAAAAGGAATATTCGGTGTCATTCTCTACTCCAGCTCTATCACTTAGCTGCCATACAAAAATCTGAAAGGATGTTGCTGTAAACTCAGAACACTGAGAATAGGTTCATTCAACTGCTCTGACAGTTAAGAAAAACTGAGTCAAGTCTACTGAAAATCACACTTTATCCCTTTCAAACATCCTAGTTCTGAAACATACCTATCATTAGCTGTAAAAAAATGCATGTATTTGTTATACCTAACAGATAATAAGCCATTGACGCTAACCAGTCTTGCAGCATGCTTTTTCTTATCTTGTATTCCCCTATTTCAGGTTTCCGAAGAAACCTGAAAAATTATTATGGGTGTTTGCTTGTCATCAAAAACATGCAAGCAAACATTTTCTATTACAGCTTATAATCTTATTTTTCCAGATGAATTCTCAGGAATGTCTGTAAGCAACCCATTTTGAAAATCAGTATGTCTTCTTTCAGTTCTATTCTCAGTAGCTGGAAATGGAAATTAATTAATTTCAGAAACAGGGCTTCATAAAAAGTTAGCCTATTGCAGTGAAAGATTTTGGTTCATTAGAGTATTTGGAATATAGATATCTTTACTTCCCTAACTTCTATCATAATTTACTTGATTTATGAAAGCTTGAAAATATGCTTTGCTAAAGGCTTCTGTATGCCCAGCCTAAACCCCTCTATATAATGTTTGACTTACAATATTCAAGAAGCAATGTTAGTATCTAAACATTACAACAGGCTGGCTGCTATCCTACTGTCCCCTGCAACAGAAAACCATCAGTATCAAAAACTAAACCAAGACGCTAACTTTTCTATCTTTTTTTCAGTAGTTTGGGAACCACCTTTGTCTCTGGAAATCAATACTACAAGTGGTTCAGGCAGCATAACACCCTCTCAGTCTAACTTTCCACAGCAACAGGGCTTTAATTCCCAGTAGCAAGAGACTTCAAGAAACACCAAATCAAAAACATTTGGAGGTTATTTGGAGCCATAAGCTGTCATTCTCTTTGGATGTTTGTGTTTTAGCCTTTATTTCTTCCTGGTGGCAACATTGAAACACAGTGACCTGTATAATAACATAACTCACACATCACTGAAAATCACTCACAATACTATTGAAAAATCACATAATAGATTGCTCCTATTGCAGAAAATTATATGGAATTGCTCAAGGGTGTTCACCTGTGACAGCAAGTCATGTTCTCATACCACCAGTCTTCTGGCTGAGCATTTTCCAGCTTGTGTGCTCCAAGGTTTTCCTACTTAGGCCATACAATGCAAAAAAACCAACACCCACCAGACAAAAAAACCAAACCAAAACAAAACTGAGAAAGGAACTTCTGCACCTGAGCTGGCGTAAGAGGTTTTTCTAATGAAAGAGGAAGGTCAGAAACCACATTTTTTCCCCAACCATGCAACTGGAATTTCTTATGCACAACTATTCTGAATGAGATCTAGGATATAATAACATGTTTCATGATAGGAAACTGGTGCTCATTTAAGCTCCTAGAAACTGACACGACTGCTCCAGAAAAGAACACAATATGGGCAGTAACGATCAAATGATTTTCTGAAATCACAGTTTAGGTTCAGAACAGAAGGATCACCTTTAGGTAAAGAGAAGCTTTTGTACTTCTTCATGTTAAACCTTCAATCCTACATCAAGTATTCACAAATGATGCCTGTAGAATAAGTAACAGTGCTAAGCAAAGATTTCATAAAAAAAGCAGAAACTATTACCTGCACAAAATATCCTTAATTGCTGGACTGGCGATATCAGTTGCAAGTGGGTTGTGAAGAGGTCAACAAATGCTCCAGGATAGACAATGAAGATAAAAATCCCAAATCCATTAAATCGTACTTGCTCTCTTAGAAAGAAGCAAAGAAAAATGAAGCGGTGTTACTGCAAACAAACAAATGAAAAACAGATTCTACATAGCACGCATATTTTTGACAACTAGAATAACTAAAATTTTAATTATAAACCTAATTTATTTTTCATAATACGAGTAATTGAAAGATAATTAAACCAGAGGGTGTTTTCTGCAGTAGTTGTCACTTTTAAGCAGCACACATTTGTGAGTCTGGTAAAAAATAAAGGATAAGTTCAACTTATTTTATGTCTCCTGGTAACAGTAACACATAAAATTTAAAAAAAATACTTTCAAGTTCACATATATTTTAATGTTTGGGGGATTTTTTCTTTCAAGTAAAAAAATGGCAGCCTGTAGAATGCAGTTTCAAACTAATCTATGAAAAATTATCTGGAAGAAGCAATCGCTTTCCTTTTAAAGAAACACTTACAGATTTCTGGAATTTATCATTTCTCTGTTTCTCCTAAATGAAGTTTAGAGTAAATTGTAAACTAACATAAATGAGGGAAATGTCATCTGAAAGAATGAAAACAAGTCAAGAGGTTAAAAGGACAAATGCTACTAGTAACTGACACTGTCATCAAATAATATATAAACATATACATAAATATTTTTCAGAGGTTTTACAATTGCTTTTAAATGGCACTTTTTGGAATAACTATGGAAAGGTTTTATGAAGCTATATATTTTGTAAGGGACTAATAGAGGCATGATGATCATGTTCCAAAACAATTAAATTCCAATTATTATTCCAAGACAATCATGTTCCAAGACAAACCAGGCATGGATCAGCTAATCCCGTATCTTCTGAGACAGTACACCGGGCATAGCATTTTATTTATTCACAGTTATTTATTTATTGTGCATATACAATAAAACAAGACACAGATTTATTCAAAATTAATCAGAATGAAGTAATACATTAATTCCCTGGAGTTAGCTCATCAGACCTACCCATGCTACCAATTAGTAGTAGGCAGACTAATGCCTATACATGATTTCATGATTTGGTAGGAGGTGCAAAAGGAAAAAGAAAAAGGCTTTTTTGGCACAAGACTTGACTAAGCTCAAATATTTTAAGGTCTTGTAGTTCACAGCCAATACTGACTTGAACTGAAGTTGGCAAAGGTTTATTAGATTTCAGGAAGTTGAAGTGATTTGCCAGAATAATAACATTTTCCCACAGCACAGCTACTTAGTAAAGCCTAAACCCCTGAGCATTCATCCTAACAGCACTACAGACCCAACCTGTGCTAGGAGAAGAGAGAAAAAAACAAAACAAAACAAAACAAAAAAAAACCCCAAACCAGTCAAGCAAAGCAGAAAACAGCAGCAGCAACAGCAATGTACATTGGACAAACTAATTTTTCCCCTGGAAAAAGCTGGGAAATAAATTTTTTGGCAAAAACATAACCCAAACTTGAATATTCAGAGCCTTTGCTCCAGATCTTGAATGAAGATCTCACACCACTAAGGTATAAGAATTATTCACTCTCGTTAAAAAGAGCTCTCTAGTTACTCCTGGCTTCTCTGCAGTCAGCCAGCAGCATGTGAAGGCACTGGAAGAGAAAGAAAATTTTGTTGCTTCTTGCTATGGTGGGACGAGCAACAGCTTCATCCTCCACAGAAAAATCCCTGTGAATATTAGGGGAAAAAAGCCGAAAGACAAACAGAGCATATGAAACACAGAGGGTCCCAAACCCCTTTAACTGAGAACTTTTTGGGTTATAAAAAAGGTAGTAATGAGTTAAGATACAGTCATGAATCCCTACACTCAAGAAAACTGGAGGAACAACTTATGGCTTCAGGCTCATGGGAAAGATAATGATGGTGTCCAAGAGAAATGTGGAGTACACCTGACTATCAGTCCCAGTAACCACCATTTAAACCCTCTTATGATAGAGTGTCATTTAACAGTAATGGCTAACCATATCAAATAACTTTCTTGTGAAGTAATCATCATAGTTAAGTGACATTAAAAATATCATCTTTGATCAAAATTAACACATCACTGAGATTAACAGGGGCAAATCACATTTGACTAAGTTACTGCTTCAGCCTGTTGGTATGGTACTTCACAACCTATGTTTAAACAAATCAATTTAAAATCTATTTTAAAGTACCATTGTGCAATAGCACGTGGGTCCTCTTCAAGTGCCACAGCTGCAGAAATTCAATTGCTGTGGGAAAAACAGGAGCACTTAAAAGAAGTATTATTTTAAACCTGATGCAGCATTGTGCATTTGCAAAGCAGAAGTCCTTTCTCGTGATCTGTAGAACAGACACTATATTAAAACTCTAACATTAATTGTACACCCTTCCAAACTTAAAACCTAAGGAAGCTATGAAATACAGAATAAACAGACTCTCCAGATAAACTGAAGAAGAGCTAACAACATTCACCTGTAAGTAAATGCTCTGGAATTTGCTGTGGCTTTGTTGGCACATAGTAAGAGAAAAATAATTTGTATTACCGAATAGCTGCCACCCCATGGCCGACTTCATGTATCACACCGCTGATGAGGATTGCAGAGAAGAAATAGGTCAGCTGGCTGACAGGCAAATTTACACCAGGCACCTGTTGGTGTGGGCATGACAACAAAATAAAACACATGAGGAAACCAAGAAGCACAAAGACAAATCATTCTGCCCCTAAACTTGCTGCTCTCACTCAGCTTCTGCAGACCCACAACAAAACAGGGGCCATTCTCAGGGAACACTATCAGTTTGTACCTCTTCTCCCAATCTATTCAATGTATTTTAAAATATATTAAATACACATTATTTTGTTGAAGGTTCAAAAGCTCTCCAAGCACAAAAGCCTTCTCCCTGCCCTACTTGCTCCCCACAGCCCTGACCAAATGTGTCCTACTCTATATTAAGCTTGAGAAGTTTATAAAAATGTACATAGACTTCCACTCAAATGAGACAGGCCTGGCAACTATGAGCATTAGTTTACAATTTCCTGCAGCCAGTCATGTAGTGATAGAGATTATTATATGGCACTTAAAACACCATGACTCCTAAAAGTTCAAAAAATGAGCCTACAACTGGGACTGTCATTCTCCCTTCTCTCCCCCTACCCAAATCACAAGACTATCTCAAATTTACAAGGTCAAAAAAAGGGTAACTTTTGCCTATTTTTCAAGTTTCAGCAGTCTACATATGGTACATATGGCAATTTAACCTTTAAATAAAAGCACCTGAAATGAGTATACGAGTATACTATTTTAATTGACGTAAGACATAATATGCAGGCCCCTCACATTTCTTCTGTTGCTGTGGATTCCCACCAGTCCCCAAGTCCTTCATTGCACTAGACTCCTTCCAGATGGGCTTCAAAGCAGTCATGAGTCAGAGAATGAGGCAACATCCCCTCTTTCCTCCTGATGGACTTTCCCCCTGCTTGGCTCCCGTCCCTGCTCAGTGGCCGTGCTGCAGTGGGATAATAAGGCCGCTTCTGCTACTTGCTCTGGGACAGTTCTCCTGTCTGCTCCACAGCTCTCCCGGCTTGAGGCAGGGTGCACTCCAGCACAGTCACTAACAGCTGATGCAAACACAACTTGAATTGCAATCCAGTGGCAGAAAAGACATGCTATGGGCAAAAATTCCTGGCCTGTCTATAGGACTCTCTAAAAACTACCCTTGTGGGACACAAAAGGCTGCAGATCCAACTGAACGGATGCTGTTTAATCCTACCTACATTCAGTCCTGCACATTCCTCAATTATATGCATTCACCTACCTATGTGGCAGAACTCTACAATAGGTTGGTGAGACAATCTAGCTAAAAGAAATCCTTCAAAAGACTGTTTTCATTAATGTTAAAGCAAATCATTTCACAAATTCCATCCAGACTGTGATCATGACCAAGATATTTATCTCAACTGGCACAACTATCGTACCTCACTGTATGAAGACCGCTGCTCTTCATTCATTAAGCATCCACTGCTTGTATTACAGCATCAGCTGGTGGCACCAATGCATCAGTAAACTGGCGTTGCCAGTGGCCCTCTGCTCTGGGCACATGGGAGGACAGACAGCAATAGCAAGAGTTGCCATCTTAATACCACCATAACTATAGCATGTTAGAACACAGCACTGGATGCTTTCAAACTTCATGTCAAAAAAACTAGTTTAAGATTCACCTAAAAAGGAAGTTAACTCTCATGAAGGGTTCTTAAATCAAGAGCAGTATTTTGTTAATAAGCATTGCCACCTTATATTTTATTGTCTTCTGGAAATGCCTTTAGCAAAAGGAGTTCCTGTGCTAGTGACTGATCTGCGTCTTTCCCACTTTTGTCAACAGGCAACCAACACAAGAGGGAGCACCTAAAGAAAAACAGCCTGGTTACCTACATAGGTATTATAAATAAAACGTTATTGAACAAAAGAGGAAGGGTACAAAAACCTTAATCAATAAAACATAAGCAGAACTGCATCTCCCCCTCTCCATAGCCAAAGGCTAAAGGTGAAACAGTTTTATGCCACACGATAAAGTTGAGTTAAAAAAGAAAAAGTTAGGGTTTTGTAAAAAACTAACTCTCTGTCCTCCACACAGTCAAATACAAATAACTAATTTAAATAAGGAGCAGGTCCTCCTGACTTGTTCTTCACCCTTTTGCAACCACACGTGGGTCACCTTTTTGTGTCAACTTAGACTAGCACATTCCCCTCAAAAGAATACTGAAACTCTTTAAAGGCAGTTATACAACTGTGACCATTCAGAAATGAAAAAACGACGTAGGTAAGAAAGAGAACCACAAGTCAACTTAGAAGTACCCTTATCCCCATACCTGACATTACATTATCCCTATGCACTACATCTTTTTCAGTGCCAATCTGTCCTTCATTTGAATGCAGTGATATTGCCAGTAGGCAGTCGCTGAGGAATCAGTTCCACATTGAAATTGTGAACATTATCCTAGATTTCTGTTTTCATAGTTCAAATTCACACCAGATTAATTCCAAAAGCTCGTCTTTACTTCGGTTGCCTCTGTGTTATTTTCTCGAAAGTGCAATGTATGGCAAACGACCACTTTACTCTGCTGTCACAGAAGTGGATAGATCCGTATCAAAATCTCAGAAAATGAAGATGGTAAGGGAGGCTTTTCTTACTCCAGAATGCAACAGACATACATGCTTAGGATAGACCCTGTTGGCATGTAAATTAAGTTTTCTGTCCCCTGTTCAACTTGTGCTCTACTGGACGCACAGACTGCCCACTCCTGTCTGCTTCTGGAGATGATTCAGGAGGAGGCTGTGAACTGGGTGACTGCAGTGGCAGTACCAGCAGTTCTCTCCCAGGTTCTCATTGCCTGCTTTTGCCAACACACACTGCATTTGTTATATTCACCCTGCATGTGTGAAACAGACCCACACCATCCCAAAGGCACTGAGTTTATGGCACACGCTCATGATCGGGCTTCCTGCACTCATGCAGTTAAGTCTAGCTGCACACAGTCAGCTGTCTAGCACTTACAGGAAGGCCTATCATGGCAGCACACAATTCTCAACTTCTGTTCACTGGACTGAGTACTTAAATACAGTAGAATGCTTGGGCACCCTTGCTCTAAGCCATGCAGCAGAAGGTAGAGCAATCCCACAAGACTTTCTGCATTTCTGTAAAATGACCGTAGTACATTCCAGCCAGATAGTGCTCTTGAGGAAATAAGGGTAGTTAGGAATCCTTCCAGGTTAAAACTGTTGTAAGGCCAATGTCAGTTCTTCTACTGCTGCCTTGCATAGAGATAAAAAAGACAGCGTTTGAACTCTCTCCCATTCTGTGAAATACATTCCTTTCAAAAACCATACAATGTATTCTCCAGCATCAGAAATCCATAAAACAATGAAATACATTGTTATCAGCCCTTTGACTAGATACTGCCAGGAACAGTGCTTTCAATTTCACACTGTAAATTAGGGCATAAGTCCTTGAACAATCAAAAAATATGCCATCTCCTCACTAATTAATCTTTGTTTCGACTATCACACAAAACTCTTCTTTCCTTTTCCACTGATGCTTTGTATTGTAATAAATTAAATAGGACTCCTCTCTTCTTGTGGATTATGGATGTGCTCTGCAAACTTCGAGGCCACCAGTGCCTCTACATTGCATAGCTAAGAGGAGGCAAATTCTTAGCTCTCTTTTGTATTCTTAGTACTGTGATAATTGTAGGGCTTTTCAAAATTGCTAGCCAATTTTCACTCCTGAGAATTTTTAATATTAGCTCTTCCACATGTTTGCCTTCATTTGTCTTCCCCTCTCTTTCTACTTCCACTCCCCATTTTTAAGGCTGATAACAAATCAGCAAATTTTTATGTAGTTGAGTATCAGAGTTAGGTTATTCCTGTATAGGATTTAAGCATCACATACCCCATTAAGAAGCTGGTTAAGATCTGTTCACAACTCTCAAACAAAGACCTGAGAAGAGAACACTTACCACAACTTGCAGCATACGATCATTCTGGGCTTTTGGTGCTTCGGTGAGCATCTGTGTCAGTGTCTGCATCAGCGTCTTTCCGAGAAGAATAACAGAGCCAAACATAGCAAGTATACCAAACACCATTCCTATGCTGAACCTACAAAGAGAAGCAAATAGTTTAGCAATAACCACAAGAAGACAGGGCATATTCTCCGCAAATCTGCTTTAGCACAATTTAGCACACCAAACTCATAGGGCAAGACCTATGTGATGCTACTACCACTCGTGTATCAACAATCCAATACAAAAATATTACCTAAAGGAAACTAATAACAATAACATATAATAACATATACTAGTAACATTGACTGATGACGTGTAATATTTTCCTCGTTTAATAAATGTTTTACATCCAAACCAACATCCTGATTAATTTTCAAATATTTTTATGTTGTTCTTACACATTTTAAATTTTATTCAGTTACCCAATACATGTAACTTTCCATCAGCTATGAACATAAAAACATAACTAATAATATATAATTAACCATGTTGCACCACACCATCACATATTTAGATACCTGGATCAAATGACTGGGTAACATGTATGTTTATTTACATAAGCTTTTTCAATAAATTTTGCATCTTCCTCACAAACAATAAAAAGTGCTAAAGAACAATCAATCTTTTTAAAGAAGAACTAAAGGGTACAGCTGCAAACCCAGATTAAAATCACCAACTTCAAACACATTGTTCTTCTCACCAATTTCTTTTTCATTAAAATCAGCGTTGAAAATAATTTCAATTTACGTCAGTCCACTTAGTGGTGAATTTTTATTCAGCATTATTATTGTTATTGTCCAATAGTTGAAGAATGTGATAAAGTTTATTTTCTAGCTAAAACACTTCGGTGCACTACCAGTCCTTCTCCCTTTCACAATAGTCTAATTCTTCTCTTACCATCCTTAATGAAGCTCATTGGGAATTAGCAAATTTATTTTAAGCAACATGTACTTGTAATGTTAATGAAAGAGACTGGTGGAAACATTACACTGTAATAAATTAAACACATTAAAAAATTGTGATTGATATACAACTATTTCAAACTGAAACAGTAAAATCATTACATATGAGAGAAACCAACATGAAGCAGACCTCTCTTTCATTACTATCTCACTAAGGGTAGCAGTACAGGAAATTAAAAGAAATTCAAACCTTACTAATTTTATATTTTCAGAGCAGATATAAAGTAATGCTAGGAAGGCAACTGAGTAATAATTTTCTAAACGAGTCCAGGAGCACCCATACTAACCACCCTGCTTATTTACCCATTCCCAGCAGTCTGTGCAGTGTTAGCAGGGAAAGGTGCCAGCAGATAAAAGACAGAAGGTGAGCAATGTGCTTCTGAGCCAGCATAGTTGCTGAATGTCTGGGCAATGACTGACGACAGGGACACAACTGTCTCTGAATACTTTTTAAAAAATAGTCATCAGGGGAGAGCTCAGTGTACAGTGATGGAGAGATCTAGGATATGAGAAGCTGCTTTCAGATCTGCTTCTGTATGCAATATTACACGTCATAGCTGTACTCTTAAGAACCACGTATAGTTCAAGCCATCAGTAAAAGTAGTTTACAGATTTCTAGTTTTATAGGTTGCATGTTGAGATGCTATATTACAGCTATGTATTTTTTAGCAGGGAAGAAAGACTTATACTGGCACAGTACAATTATGGCAACCACACTAGCTTGGTTTTATCATTAGCCTAGTGAAATAACCACGTCTATCCATTATACTTTTAAGGCTGAAAGGCACAGATGTGGTTAAGTTGTTGACTCTGTATTTGACAGAAGAAAAAAAATCCTGAGTTTATACCATAAATACAGAAATCTCGGTTTCCATCTCCCCCAGTTGTAGAACTGTCGGTTGAAGAGAGCTGTTTGCCATCGCATGTGAAAAGGAGAGACGCTCAAGCCGTACGTCAGCAGCCAGTCTTCATAAGATGCCTTCAGAGAGTTGGATGACTGCAAAACAATGGAAAATTAGTTTAACCAAAAACTTCTAGGGAGATTTTGCGTTATGTGACCAAGCAGTAAATGTGATCTGTTTACATAAAAATGGATGTATAACTTCAGGTAGATGTCCTGCATGTTATTTATATTTTGACATACAGGTGGGTGTAACATGTAATACGAAGAAGTTATGCTGCTGTTTTGATGTAAATCGCAACAGTTCTAGGATTGCGAGAGAGATCAAGTATCCAGTGTTATTTGACAAACAAGATCTTATATCATCTTTCCTACTGTTAAATCACTTCCAGTAGTTTTTAACTGTTTGGATAGAAAGCTAAAGACTGAACTGTTTATGGTATTTTTTCAATGTGCAATTACATTCCAGCAAACATTTTTAAAACTAGAACAAATTAAAATGCTCCTTTTGGCTCAGCTGAAAAAAAAGTTTCAAATATTGGTGAGATATGGATCAGTGCTGTGGATACCCTTTAGTAAGGGTAAAAATAAGGTCTACTTTTCAAACACAGAGACTATGTCTAAAGAGCCTCTGAAATATTTGATCATACTAACAAAAAGCAAGAAGGAATTTAAAATTATCAACCTGTATTGCAACAGCAATTCACTGTGATAATTTACCAGCATTTCCAGATACTGCTAGAATGCCTTCCTAGGAGTCCTAAAGATTTCTTTTTATGAGAAACGTGACCTATAAACTATATAGATTAATACTTATCCGCAGTATTACCTGATATTATGGACCAATAGGCATAGTTTTGCGATTGCTGCTTTATATTATATGGTGCTTGTCTTCTCAACAGGCTTTACGTGGCCAGCTTCATGGAAGCTAGTATCAGAAACCCAACTGAAGCAGCGCTTTCCTTGGAGATGAAAGAGGAACTCATAGCTCAGGAAAAGCGCACCAGGGCTTTAAGCCTTCTGACTTTGAGCCGTTCCCAAGGCAAGAGTGTCTCTGACATAATCCAGACAAGTCTTTGAGGCTGTCTGACCTGGAGCATTGTTCCCAAGTTTCCCCATGAGCAGCAGCACCTACTGAAGACATTGGGAACGTGTAGTACACAACAGGCTCCCCTCTCCCCTGCCAAGGGGAACTTCACGGGCGTCTGGCTGTCGTCCGTGGTTCTTTAAACATATTTAGAACTTGCCAAGTTCCTTGCATTCCTCCTGTCCTGCCGTGGTGGTGGGGGGGAGCAAGGATCTCATCTCGCACAACCAGATTCATAGCTTTTCTCATTTTGTTGAATTAATTAAAATTTGAACACTAAACATTTATTTCAAGTAACAATTTTCCTAGGAGGCCCTTTTAAATCAGGTCATTGTTCATTTATCACCTCTTACACCATTTATCTTTTCTGCCTATATATATTCCTTTGTCATTTCCTTCTGCTTCACCCTACTGATTTCAGTCACATTTTTGTTCAGTCAGCTGAGGGCCCCGACAGAAATTTTCATCGTAACGTATTCCCTGATCAACAGTAGTCACTCCCTATGACACCACTAAATTTAGTGTCCACAACCAGATCAGCATTTGCCAGCTCAGCATTTGCTAGCTTTAACAGATCACAAAGGTGATTACACTTTCACAAATAATAATATATAAGCCAAAGAAATAAGGAAAAAGACCTCCTCACATAATGTACCAGATACTTAAAAACAAAAATACATATGGCATTAAGTACCTCTGACATGACAAACTGCCTTTTGGGAATTAAGTAAACATATCCTGTTCATTCACACAGTCCAAAAAACCCCACCCAACCACATATCATTATAATAAAGCTAATTGGAGATATTGATTTGGCACTTTAACAATGTGTTCCTTTTATCGCATGCAGAAACCACTTTTCCCCTAGAAATGTCACAAATCCATGCCTTCAAATTCATTCCAACCACATCACAGCCCCACTGTACTAGCAAGGCATAAATAAATAGGAGACTTTCCATGAGAAATATGGGATTACTGACCATACATTTGCCAAATGGGGGAAAAAAAAAATAAAAGCTACCAAAATTAATTTTCCTTTTGCATTTTCCTCACAAGTTGTGTAAATTACATTCATGATCACTAAATAACTGCATCCCTTTGCAAAATATACCAAAAAGCTCTACGCAAACTTTTGCTCCTTCTGTCCTGAGCCCAGTAGGACCACCACATTACCATGTGCACCCTCACGCCCCGCTACGAGAGGTATGTAGGTATCCTATGTTTCATTTCAAACCTCCTTCACACAGGCCTTGGCTCTGCTTCTTGAAGTTGAGTTCTAAGTGATCTTTGTTTTATTAATTTTACTATAAAAGCAATACTTTTTTTATTTATGCAAGCCTTCAAAACAACGAACGTCTGCTACACACACCAGGAGCTCCATAAGTATCTGCCAGCAAGCAGGAGTCTTTAGCATTCTTCTTTGCTGAGAAAATCCGTGCAAGAGCTCTGAACCCTTTCAGCCTCCTGACCTTAAAAGCTGAAGGCTAACCTTGGCTGAATGCGTCTGATGCAGCCTTTATTTCCCATCGCAGAAGGAGGGACAACCTTCTACCCTCTGCTCATTCCTAATCCTTCAAGCAGAATGAAATGGGATGATTTAGGATGCTGGGGAGCAGGAATTTAGGGGTCTGCCTGAGTGATTCCCTTTTGTAGGATCCAAGCTTCAGTGGAAACTTTCGTGCCAGTGGTTCAATAGAGAGCAACAAGAGGGACTTAAAATTCCAAGTCCCAGCTTGCTTCGGCATATTTTCAGTTTGCAAACACAAATGCATCTTGTAATGTAACTCTAGCAATATTATAGTATGTGAATTTATTTGTGCAAAAATGCATTTATACACACAGTTATGCCTCTTCTATATTGCAGAATTTCGAAGAGCCAGACTGACTAACAAAATGTTTGCAATCTGAAGAAAACAAAGGGAACAAAGTGAGCAAGAGACGTTGCATATTGAACAAGTTTACAGAATAAATATCAACTGCAAGTTACAGCACACACCCTCCTCTGGCCAAAAATATCGACAGGCTCACACATGGAAAAGTACTCCTGTATTATTTGTCACTTATGCTCTGTCCATCCTTTTGGTGTAATTAAATTGTAAGTGATTGGAGGTTGAAGCAGGCAATGCCTTTTGCTAGGGTTGCTAGCAGCCTCGGGTTATGAAAGTGGTGAGAGATAATAACCAGCCATAAAACAAGCAACCCCGAGTCTCCTGATTATACAAATCTCGTTATTTAATACAAATTCTATTTTGGCTGTGGTGCTCACAGTGAAACAGATCATTAAGATGTACAGACATGAGATTTACCAGTAACTTCACTGAAACCCAGCAGCTCCCACATACTTCCTGACGATTGATAACCTTTGTCAACTTTTAGTTAAAAGATTGAAGTTATATTTTAACTCCTGGACTTTCTGGTTTGCTATAGCATTCCAGGCATTCCCCCTTCTTTTTCAGCATAAATCAGGCACTAAATTAGCTCCAAACAACGTGGGTTTTTTTTTTTTTTTCCTCCGTTGCTGCTGCTAAGCTCTACGGTTTTTTTTCCTCCGTTGCTGCTGCTAAGCTCTACCAGAGGCTGTAACAAGAAAAGCAGTGGCTATTCTTACTTGCCAAAGAGAATGAATTTAAGGCCTAATGCTGAAAGGGATCTTCAGTATCTCAGAGGTACAAATGGGTCTCAGCACCGGGGCTCAACAGGTCCGCTCCCTGAATTCAGCTCTTGCTTCGCACTCTAAAATTATTCATCAGACGCAAAGTTACTGTCAAAAGAAAACCAGCCTGCTAGCAAACCTTTCTGGTGGGTTTTGGCGCGTCTCCCTACAGTCAGGAGCACCTTGTCCTGGTATCCGGCCAGTTTGCTAATGCATTTCAAAACAATGCCACTCTTGTTTCCAAGTACCTAATGTAGACTTGATGTTATAAAATTGGAAAAATCTTCAGAGAAATTACTGTATTTTTTATTGTCGTTATGTACAGACTAATATTTGGCAATTAATAGCTCTCATCGTTTATTGAGCTACATTTGCTCTCCAACAATAGCAGCAGGGGGAGCCACTTATTTTTCCAAGTTTTCTCATCACCTATGATTTCTTACATTTCTTCCTATATTTTACAGGACTGACAAAATTAATGCTTTTTTCTCTGAAATCGCTAGGCCCTATCTGTACTTGGCAGAAACAGATGCAGCTCCTGGACTGTAACGTTAACATAAAAAAGGAGAATTACAAATCAAACCTTTAAGGTTTCCTCATGTCTTACCAGCATACATCCTATTTTGCACACATACTTCACAATTTCAGCCATCTCTTTGAAATCGTACCTCTCGAGTTTTTAAAAAAAAAAACCAAAGACTTAATGAACCTTGCGCAATGCACAAATGCATTCCTAGATCTAATGAATGATACTTCGTTGGTGTATTTTCTGTTCAAACCTTCCCCTCGCTGTCAGGAGGAAAAAGATGAGTTTTACAATACTCTCTGAAGATTAAAGTTTATTTCTTTAAAAAGTATTTGCATTGAGCACTGCCTCAACTTGTTTTTTTTTTTCCAGTAAAACTAAGGACAATCAAAAGAAAAAAAATGTGCATTAGTTATTACATACAGTAATTCTAGAAAAATCATCATTATAAAACACATAGTCTACACAGCAAACTTCTAAATTAAGGGTTTTTTAAAAAAAAACAGATAGCAATACTTTAAACTCCAGAAAGCACACTGAAATGCCACAGAGCTGTTCAAGCAGCACACTAAAAGCTGGCTTCCCTGGCGTTTCACAGCTTTGGCCCTTTAATACAGCCCCGAAATCTCCGTAGCCGCCTGGGAGGCGCCTT